TTCTGGCTCTTAAAAATGTGGCGTCTGATTCTATTTGGCAGGATGTTTAATCTGGTATGGAAGTTTAGCCAGACTTCGTGGAGAAATACTTTTTTAATGTATCGTATCCATATTTATTGCAAAACGTGATGTCCACTTAATCTTTTCTATTAAAACTAATTTAAATACTATGTAAATATTCACAGTGCTGTTTTCAGCAGCATGTAGTGTCTGACCTTTAAGTTACTGAATTTGTAGCCATAAACTTTTATGTAAAATTGGGGGAAATTCATTGTACTCTGCTGTTTATTTAAATTGCAGGCAGAGAAGCAGTCGGTGCTACAGTTTTCTAATCCAGTACCAAACCGTGGCATATTTCCTTTTTCTTTATAAATTACTGTGTAATTCACCTTTTAGAATACAGCACTTCTATAGTGTGCAGAACACTCTGTTCAACATTAGACCCCTCATTTGAACAGAAACATATGGGAAAGAAGTTCAGACGTGAAGATCAATAGTATCAGGGAAAGACTGACCTAGGCAGGCAGAACGAGCCTGCAGCTTGGCAAAGTGATACCCAAGGGCAGGGTGTGATGACAATTCACAGATATTTGAGAGATGGAAAGACCAACGAGAGAAAGGGATTATTTTGTTTAGTAATTAGAACTAATGGGTAGAACTATAAAAGGGGGGGGGGGATGGGCATGGAGGAGGGCACTTGTGGGGATGAGCACTGGGTGTTATGTGGAAACTAATTTGACAATAAACTANACTGGGTGTTATGTGGAAACTAATTTGACAATAAACTATTTGTAAAAAAAAATAAAATAAATAGTAAAAAAAAAAAAAAAAGAACTATAAAAGGGGAATTTCAGACTAAGAACCAGTTGAACTTCTTGGCAATAAAATGGGCTAAAAGCTCCAACACAGAGGCGTTCCTAAACCAGGTAGCAAAACAGGGCATCTGTGAAAGGTGTACTTTAACAGTGGCTACAAGAGCATCTGAATGGGAGAAAATATTTCATTGGCAGCCACTCTTTTGAGGATTTCTCCTTTTGCCGTTTATCAACATCTTTTCTATGTGTCAGAAAGAAGACTTGATTTTTTTTTTTATGTTTACTTGTTTATAACTTGACTTGTTCTGTGACTTACTCGATATCTTTGGAAGAAACAGAAATGAGTATTCAAAGCTTTTCAGTTTTCATAGCATGAAAGCTGCCTGAGAGGTTTTGTTCATTTTTTTTTTAATTTTTAATATTTATTTATTTTTGAGACAGAGACAGAGCATGAGCTGGGAAGGGCAGAGAAAGAGGGAGACACAGAATCCGAAACAGGCTTCAGGCTCTGAGCTGTCAGCAGAGAGCCCGACACGGGGCTCGAACCCACGGACCGCGAGATCATGACCTGAGCCGAAGTCAGATGCCCAACCAACTGAGCCACCCAAGCACCCCCAAACCTGAGAGGTTTTGTTGTTGTTGTTGTTTTAGTCTTTTCTTAAGTCCACTTTCACTTAGCTTAAGACTGTAGAGCCTTAGAGCCACAGAATGGCAGCTGCCGTGGAGGAGACAACACTCACTGAAGTTCGACCTGAGTGTGAATTCTGCCTAGAGTACTCATTGGCTGGTCACCTGAACAAGTTACTTATCCTCCCTGAGCATCGGTTTCTTAAAATAAAGGGGCAATCATACCGTCATGCTTGTTGCAGATTCAGTGAAGTGATATCTGGGAAAATGCTGTACAAGTTTTAAGTTATTAATGTTTGTATTAGTTTTCTATTGCTGCTGTAACAAATTCCCATAAATGTAGTAGCTTTCCTCCACTGGAATACACTATCTCACAGTTCTGTGACTTGGGAAGTCTGGGTGGGTGTGGCTGGCTTCCCTGGGCCAGGTCTCACGAGGTGGAGGTCAAGGTGCTGGCTGCCCTGAGCTCTTATCTGGAAGCTCTGGGGGAGAATCTGCTTCCCTGCTCACTCAGGATGTTGGCAGAATTCAGTTCCATGCCGCTGTGGAACTGAAGTCCCCATATCCTTGCTGGCAGCCTAGGGTTCTCGACTTTTAGAGGCTGCCTGCGTTTCCTTTATCTGTAAAGCTAGTTGAGTCTTCATGTTTCACATCTCTCTGATCTCCCTTTCTGCTGCTGTATCTCTCCTACCTCCAGCCAGTGAGTGTTCTATGTTTTCAAAAGCTTGTGTGATTAGGTTAGGCCCACTGGATAATCCAAGATAATCTCCATATTTCAAAGTCCATAACCTTAATTACATTTGCAAAGTCCCTTTTGCTTCCTACTGTAACATTCACAGGCTCTAGGAGTTGTATGGGTATCTTTGGGGTTAATTCTGCCTACTACAGTAATGGTATTTGGGGCTGGAAAGGGACCTTACAGAAGATGAGATGAGGTTCTTGCCCTGGACGGTTTACAATCCAATGGGGGAAAGAGATGAAAAGCATACAGGGGAAAAAAAAAAAAAAAGGTCCAATAATAAAAAGGGTTTGTATGGGATGTTCCAGGAGCCCAGAAGGCCTTTCCTGTACCTGACTTGGCCTATAGTTCTTCCATCATACCATGCTTGTTCTTTGATGCTTTGTCTTTTATCAAAATCCTTCAGATGAAAGGATTATGTGTCCATATACGCAAAATAACACCATGTGATTTGATTTCTAAATGTCCAGAGAATCAAGCTGCTGCCATAGCTCTGTATCTGTGGCTCTGCTACTTCCTAAGGAAAGGTCTTGAATCCTTAGCTCACAGAGGAATTTTCTTTCTTCTCTGATGATGAAGTATGACAACACCTTATCTCCTCTTATCTTGTTCCTTATCTCCCCTTTTTCCTCATCAAGCCCCCACGAGAGCCCTCTTGTCTTTCACTCCTAGATCTCTCCTAGTCACACGTATGTCTTTACTCCCCTCTTTTGAGTTTTCTTGTTTCTTATTGTTTTGAATTAGAATCCACTTACCCTGGATAATGCAGAGATTTCTGTTTAATTCTTGCCACCTATAATTTCTATTTTAATAATGTTTCATAGACTTTTGGTGACAATTTTGTAACAATAACAGCTGCCATTTATTGAGCACTTACCATGTGCCGGGTGCTGTGCAGAATTCTGTACTTCCGTTTTTTCATTTGCTTCTATTTTCTCATTTAATTTAGACAATCTGTGAGGGTGTAGGTACTATTTTTATTTCCATTTGAACTCAGCTGGGATTTGGATCCAAATCTAAGTCCAAAGCTTGTACTTGACACCATGCACTAGAGTAACATTAAACAGAAGCAGAAAATGAGGCATGAAGGAGCCAAAGCAGCACAAGTGGATTCGGAATCCTCAACTCTTTATAGCTATTCTGAAAGTTAGAGGATTTCTTTCTAGAGAACCAGGATCACCTCTGTTTCCCACTAGAGATATTCAAAGTGATTCCTCCAAATTCTATTTCAGACAGGTCATGTTAGTATGTGTCTATGGCTCCAGAGAGCTATAGAGGATGTGTGGGCACTGGCTTGGCATTCCACAGAAGAGCCTATTTCTCTGAGGCTCTAGGGGAGATGTGGTGTGTCCTGTGGCTGGCCCCAGCAGTTACCAGTAACAGAAAATACCTTCCCCAGAAGACTGGGATGATTAAGGTATTTAAGGATTTAGCACAGTGCCTGGCACTTAGTAGGTACTCAGTATGTGCTGGTTCGCATTGTCCTAGATTTTCTTTAGTTCCTGGGTATTCAAGCCAGTAGAATTTTGTTCTTCTAGCTCCACTTGAATCTAGGCTCAATGTTGAGAAGACAAGAGATGCGTCTCTGAGTTGGCCGCTGTCCAATCCTGTGAATCATACCAGCTCTCAAGTTTGAGTCCAGAGAGAACTGAAATCTGAGGCCAAAGAAGGCAAAATATTTCCTTTTCCTCTTCTAAGTTTTTGAGTTATTGATGTAATGGGAACAGCTCTGGGTTCAAATGCAGTCTGCATGTGCTTTCTCAAGTTACTTGCCTGTTTACATCCCGGAAAGAACTTAGGCTGTGGGGAAGGGTAAAGCTGGCCATTTTACTCAGTTAAGCACTTCTTTGTAAGGTGATCACCTTACCTGTGAGTGGGGCCAACAGCAGCTCTTCTGTCCGGGCTGTCAGGCTCAGAGTGTAATGTATGTGGTCCTATCATGATGCAGTAGTAGAAGCCTGTGAAAGATCCTTTACTTGAGCCATTCATTCAGGGCATTGGCAGTTAGGTTGAGCAAGTGGTCCCAGGTTTGAATTATTTATCCTTTTCCCTGTCCAGTAGGAGGGCAGCCAGGTAAAGTAGTTGTGGGTGCCCTGCCCACAGGCTAGAGCAGGTATGAGGAGAGCCTTCTATGGGCGGTGGAGGTACCAAATACCACCTAAACCCAGCCCCACCACATTCTACCGCCAAAGCCCCTGGCGCCAAACCGTGTTGCTTCAGCTGCTAGTAGTTAATGCTCCTTTGCTTGGAAACGTTTTCAGCTCCAGGGAGCAATATGGTGCCGCGAGGGCTCACTGCTCACCCGCCTTGTCTTCCTGCGACTGGGATCCGCATGCACCCTACTCGCAGCCCAATTTACCCGTCCTTCAAGGCTCACCATGGTCAACGTGGGTGGGGGTGGTACAGGGAGGGCTGAGAACTTTTCCGGGAAGGGCCCCAGCAGGGTCTTGGCGGGCCGCCCTGTTAGCCACGGCCCAGGACCCCAGGGTGGGAGAGTGAACGGAAAGGTGGCACTCGTGCCTGGAGCGGTTGCAAAATCCTCAGTCATGAGGAAGAAACTGGGCTCGGAGGCACTTGGGTGAAGGGGCCCTTTCCCTTGCCCTCCTTTCAGGTGCTGGGGCCTAAAGGGGGTCAAGTTCCACTGCGGAAGGCGGGAACTAGGAACCGTTGCGGGCTAGACACCCCGCCTTCCCAGCCTGGGGGTGGGGGGCGTGGTGCGGCTGCCCCTCCAGGGCGGAGAGGGGGAGAGGGGTCGGTGCGGGGGCTCTCCCTCCCGGGAAGTGGGGCCCGGCCAAGTCCACGAGGGGAGGGGGCGGGCCCCCTCGTCTCCCCGCGCCTGTGGGGACCCTAACCCTACGCCTGTGTCCGGAGGAGGCCGGCGTCCAGCAGATGCACGCGGTATGGAGGGGGGAGCGGGGGAGAGGCGGGGAGGAGAAAACCCACAACAAAACTTGCGTCGCCGAGCTCACGGCTCGACTTGAATGGAAGGAGCCCGCGCCCGCGGAGTGCAGCGGCGTCTCGGGACAGCGCGGACGGCCGGCGGGGCGCGGCGCGGCGCGGGGGAGCCGCAGGTACCCGGCGAGGGCGGCCGGGTGGGCCAAGGGGTCGGGGCCGAGCCCTGGCGGCGGACTCGGACTTCCCGCCGGGTCCGGACGGTCCCCGAAGCTCCCCCGGGCGGGGCTGCCGCATCCCGTCCCCCAGGTGGGAGCCCTGCACCGGGTGCGCGGCCGCGAACTGCACGTTGGGAGTGCGACCCCTCCGCGATCGCTACCCGGGCAGGGGCCTTTCCTCCTCTCTGGCCAGAGGCTGGTCCCAGCCCTCTTTCCGCCCCCCCCCCCGCCCCCGTTGCGCACATCTGGAAAGAATCTGAGGGCGGTGGGGAGGGGAGGGGGGGTGGGAGGACGCGGGCTGCTGACTGGGAATGTGGGGGCAGGTGGAACTGGGGAGGGGCGTGAACCCCTGTACTTAGAGCCCAGGCGTGAGTCGCACTATATTAGCTCACTCCAGCTAGTTCGCCCTTCGCTCTCGTCACAGAGAAACTGAGGCCTAGAGGGGGGCAGAAATATGCTTCCAGGAAGAGCGGCGGACAGGTGAGGCGGAGCCCGCGCGACCACCGCTCGGACCCGCTCGGGGCTCGGCTCCCCAGCTCAGCGCCGCGCGCTCGCCAAGCCAGAGCTCTCCGCGGGCACCTGGTGTCCGTCAGTGGGCCTCCCGCGGCTGCCTGCCCGCTGGAACAGCTGGCCTGAGGGGATTCGGCGGGCGGGTTGGGGCGCGGAGCCCGAGGGGAGAGGTCAGCGCCCTCCAGCGAAAGCGGCGGAAGTGCCGGGTTAGAAGTCCTTGAACCGCCAGGCCGGGAGGGGTTAGAATACCTGATGCGCCGTCAGGTGGAAGAGGAGGTGGTGGCGGCCGCGAGCTCGTGGCAGCAGCCGGGTCTGGGGGTGGGAGTCAGCCTCCGTCACAACTTAGGGAAAGGAGCAAACGCAGCATGAGAACGAGAGCGGCGCTGACCGTGCCTGGTCCCCAAGGCACAAAGGGATGCGCGCCTGGATCTTGGAGTGCGTCGTGGACCTGCTGAGGCCCCTCCAACCTGAGTGGCTGCTCTTGGACTTCGGGCAGGCGGGAGAAGATGAAGCTGTGGTCTAGCAGCTGCAAGAGGCGGCACTGGCAATGAACCGGGAGAGCCTCCGGGTGGTCATCTCCCCTTTTAGGGATCAGGGCCCAGTTTGTTCTAGCCTCGAGTGCAAGTTAAGAAATGTTAGATTCAGGGCGCCTGGGCAGCTTGGTCGGTTAAGTGCGTGACTTCAGCTCAGGTCTTAGTCTCCAGGTTTGTGAGTTGGAGCCCTGCGTCTGGGGCTCTGTGCTGACAGCTTGGATCCTGAGCACAAATCCTGCTTTGGATTCTGTGTCTCCCTCTTTCTCTCTGCCCATCCCCCTTCTCTCTCTCTCTCAGATAAACATTTTTTAAAAATTAAAAAAAATGTTAGATTCATATGGCTGTTTTCACAAAATCTTGTGGGAAAGTACTTTGTCTTTTGTATCTGAATCTTAGGTAAGGAGTGACTAATGGTGGCACCTTTAAGCCTGGTAGCGTCATACTAAGACCTTTGACCATGACCTGCCTGGTGCCATTGATGGCTCCCTGTCACCAGTACCTTAGCATAGTGGCTGATGCCTTTGGAGACTTGGACCTCCAGTCCATCCTTATCCCCTGCCCCATCCAGTTTACCCTTCTTTATTATTTTTTTAATGTTTATTTAATTTTGAAAGAGAGAGAGAGACAGAGCACGTGTCGGGGAGGGACAGAGAGAGAAGGAGACACAGAATTTAAAGCAGGCTCCAGGCTCTGAGCTGTCAGCAGAGTCCTACATGGGGCTTGAACCCACAAACTGCAAGATTATGACCTGAGCTGAAGTTGGCCAACTAACCAACTAAGCCACCCAGGTGCCCCTATTTACCCTTCTTTAAAGGCATCTCCCTCTTCCCCCATCCCCACACTGTGCCTTTGCTCTCGCCCTTCCCTCTGTCTGGAGTGCTTTTCCTCCCCTTCCTCCATCTGGAGAATTCCTACTCAGTCTTCAAGAGCAGTTCAAGGCTCTGGGAAGGAGTCAGAAGACACAAATTCTAGTCCTGGCCTTAACTTCAACATACTAATCTGTGAACTGAGGGGGTCAGACTAGATAATGTTGCAAACCTTTTCCAACTCTGCCTTTCACAAATTCATTTAGTCATTCAGCAAACATTTCCTGAGCACCCACTCCATGCCTGGGGAGTCAGCAAAGGCTCAACCGAATCTTGCAGGACTCGACAGGCCAGGGTGCTGTGGGAGCACCAAAGAACTTCCTAATGCAGTTAAAGGGGAGCAACAGCTTCCCAGAGCAGGGGTGTTTGAGTAGGAGTTTGCTGGGGATGGGCAGCTGTTGTGCTTGCGTTTCCTATCTGCAGAGTAGGAAGATGATGTCTTAGTGTTGGGATTTCCATTAGAGGCAATAAGATGCAGCTATCTGGGGCCCAGCACAAAGTGGGTGATTAGTGAATTTTTACTGTATTGGAGTGGAGGAGGAAGGTGCTGCTAGGGGCTGAGGATCTGTATTCTGATTTGGGTCTCCCTTCCCCTTCTTCTAGTCTTGTCTTAATCTCCACTAAAGCGCTTCTGGGCCTTAAGGTTTGGTTCCCTAGAGGCATCTGGTCCCAGGGACTTCCTCAGTAATGGTAACCCCGTGTGTGTCACACTACCCGATGCCAACAACAGATACACATGCCATTTCATTTAGTTCTCATGAGAAGCCCCCATCTCCATTGCCCAGACCAGTAAACGGAGGCTCAGGTGGTGAATTGGGGCTTGTCCAGACTCACATGGCCATCAGGAGTGGAGCCCGTGCCCTTCTGTTGCTAAAGCACTCCCTAATAAAGAGCTCGCTGCAGGCCGAGCCGCCCCCTCACTGGCCATTTGCTGTCCCAGCGGTGTAAGTTGTACCTCACCAGGGAGCTCCTCACTCAGGACATGCTGAGACCTGGGGGCTGCTCTCTCCTTTGTTCTCCCCCCATCCCCAGCTCCAATGCAGCAGAGCACACAGAAGGGGCTTTAGGGGCCTATCTCCTCAACATTCTTAGAAGAACAACAACAACAAATCGAGACTCAGGCCACAATGTGGTCAAGATCACACAGAAAACCAGGTGGTGGTGCCGGAGCTGCCCAGGATCCCAAGTTGCAGAGGAGGAGGTGGGACTCTCTAGGCCCTGTCTGTTCTTCCTCCCTCTCCTGTGAATCCAGCTCATCCTCTCCATGCCAACACTTCTCTCTGCCAAGACCAGTTTATCATCCCTTGCCTGTACCATTGCACAGCCTGGGAGAGCGCCTCACTGGTCCATCCATAAATCTGCCCCTGCTGCACTCCTGCTCTTCAATGCCTCCTCATCTTTCCTAAGATAAGGATCACTCTCCCTAACCAGGCTTTCAAGTCCCTTCTTGGCCTGGACTGCCCACCTGCCTCACTCCCTGTCCCCAACACCCACCAGACACTCTAGCCAGCTTGTGACCCTTCCCCTTTTGCCTGATATTCATCCTTCATGGCTAGATAAGGCATCACTTCTTCTGAGAAGGTTTGTTGACCCCAGGCAAGGTTAGGTCTCCTCGGGGCACCTATGGACTCTGGTTTCCCCCATCACACCCCTGATGACATGGGGATTATAATACTCAAGTTACACCTATGTCTATTACATCTATGCCAGCACTGCCTGGTAGAACTATAACGTGAGCCATAAATGCAAGCCGTATATGTAATGTGAAATTTTCTAGAAGCCAGGTTAAAAAATAAAATGCAACAGGTAAAATTAATTTTAGTAATTTATTTTAACTCCTCCAACATATGTAATTAACATGAAAATAAATGAGATATTTTATGAGATATCCTAAATATTAACGATATTTGACATCCTCTTTTGTAGTAGTCTGTGGAATCCATGTGTACTACATATTACACTTACAGCACCTCTCAGTTCAGACTGGCCACATTTCAAGTGCTCAGTAGCCACATACAGCCACCACTTTGGATAGTGCAGGTATGAGCTTCTTAAGCTCATGGGTCCTTAGGGCCCAGCTGTGCTTGGCCCAGGATAGGGCCACATCACATTGTGGTTAAGGCCCTGGGCTGGGAGCTCAGCTTCACCATTTAACAACTGTGTTACATTGGCTAATCCCATTAGGCCTCAGCCCCCTCATCTATAAAGTCATGGTGGTAACATTTTCAATATGGTTAATAATGTTTATATAAGCAGATACTTTTTATAGATTTTTACAGATACACATTGAAGGGGAGGGAGGAAAAATAGCTGGTCTGGTGAGTGCACAAGATGTGTGGGGAGGATCCTTCTCCCTGGCCTCCTGCCCTGATTGATTTGGGGCAAAGTCCCCTCTCCCAGAGCCCTGGTCCACAGTGGGGTCACACAGACCGGCACAGGTCTGGTCTAATGTTGGTGGTTAGCTGTTGAGCTAGCTGGAGAGGGGCGGGGCGGGGTGGGGAAAGGGAGGCAGTGGAGGAGGGGTTTCAGTGTGCATGGAAATGATGGTCTGTAGACTGGCAGAGGCTTTATTGCCCATTTGGTCAGGGGATGGGGCAGCAAGGGTGCGGTAGGGTGGACACAGGGCCAGGCTGCGGAAAGTGTTACTTGCTGCTGCTCACTGAGCCCTGGGGTCGGGAGCTGCAAGTGTGCTAGGCTCCCTGGCTTTCTGCCAGGCCAGCGGCTGGGGCCTGAGTCTGCTTAGACCTCATAGACCTAACGGAGTCAGACAAGCTGACTGCTGCCCACTCCCCATCTCCTCACACTTCTATCTCTGGGGCTTCCCAGGGCTCACCCAGTTTGGGGTGGAGGGTGGGGCAGTAGTTATTGTGTTGGGCTTTGCTGCCCCCCTCTAGACTGAGAGCAGGGAACTTTGCCACCTCACTTGTGTCCCCTGTGCCAGCACAGGGCTGAGGGCAGACAGGACCTCCTTGGAGAGCTGGCTGAGCCAATGAGTGAGGCAAAGCAGTGTCTGAAGTACTGCAGTGGCCACAGGGCAGCAGGAACGCATAGGACGCTGGAGTCTGCAAGTCTGGGGGGAGGTGAGCCTGGAACTGGACTGAAAAGCACAGCAGGATCTGGACAAGAGAAGGGGAGGAAGCAGCGGGTTCCGGAGCAGGCAGAGCCCACAGGTCAGATGTTAGTGGTAGGAAGAGCGAACATTTATTGAGCACTTCGGGTGTACAGTATGTGCACTCACTGGTTTCCCCATGAGGATGGCTCTGGTAGCCCCTATGGACAGGTGAGGAAGCTGAGGTTAGTGGGTGACAAAACTTGCTCAGGGTCACACAACTGAGAGCCAGAGCCGACTGCAGTCCTGGCTGGTTGGCTCCAGTGCCCGCCTCCCTAACCAGTCACCGGCTGCGGTGACCAGCTCCCGGTTTACCCAGGCCCAGCATTTTCCCACTGTGCGGGGTGTGGTTCCCCGAACTAGTGCCATGGAGAGAGCCTCAGACTGAGGCAGGGATCCCCCGGGCCGAGTGCCTGCAATGTAGCTGCGTTTGTAATTGCTGTAGCTGTGACAGCAGCACCTCATCACCCCAGAGGAACCAGGTGCTTCACATCTGTCACCTTGCTGACTCCTCCCAGATGCTATGGGTTTAGATGTATTATCTGCATTGTAAGGTGAGGAAATAGGGGGGTCAGAGCCACTAAGTGGTGGAGGGGGACTCAAACTGGGGTCTGTGGGACTCTAGAGTCAGTGCACCTGAGTTATGGCCTGTCACAACTTAGCACTTCCCAGAGATGTTTGCTGAGTGAGTTTCTGTCAAGAGAACTCCAGGGACCAGCCTGGAGCCCAGCCAGGCCCATTGGGTGCTAAATATGGGACCCCTGCATCTTCCTCATGGCCTGAGGCCATCCCTACCCCTGCTCCTGGGGGGGGGGCATGCTGTGCTCAGGAGCAGTCTCTTGCAGGTGGCAGCAGGCTCTGGTGTGGCCCGCTGAGGGTGTAAACATCAGGAAGGGGACTTGGAAGGCCCTGGGGATGGCAGCAGCATTCACTGATGCCTGCCCTTTGCCCAGCCCCACCCAGACACCGAGAGCGGCTCACAGCCCTATATGGGAGAAAGACACCTTCCCATATTCACAGCCCAACCCAACTCACGCCAAGCCCTGGGGGAACACAGAAACGGAGGGCCCGGGGACAGCTCAGAGTCTTCCCAGGGGACACAACACTGGCGTTGGTTCTTAGAGAGGTTGCTGACTGCACAAGAGAGGGGGAGGGTATTGCAGGCAGCAGGAACAGCATGTGCAAAGGCCCGGAGAGAGGAACTACTAGATAGACCTGTATAATTGGGGTGCAGGTGTTGGAAGAGAGACAGGGTCAAGTCCTGAACATCCTAGAATGGTGAGCCGAAGAGCTGGGATGTGCCTTGCTGCTGCTGGCCCGCCATGGCCTGTGGCTCTGGACGAGGTACAGGGGCTGCCAGCCCCACCTGTGCCAGGGCAGCAAGAGCTCTGCAAAGTCCTGGCCAAACCCTGCAAGTCACAGTTCCTCCCTGGCCTCAGCTTCCCCTTCTGTGAAGTGGGTGTCCAGTCCTCAGGGCCAGGACTGGAAAGGGCCGCTGGAGGCTTTGCAGACTTGCCTAAGGGCAGGGCTTCACCTGCTCCTTCCAGAGGGTAGCCCTGATGAGGGGGATGTGGGTAGGGAAGGGAGGGTGGCAGCAGATCAGACGTGTGCCCAGGACCCCTGAGTAGGCTCTATCCTGTGCCTAGGAGGGCCCCACTATGATTCTGTGCACCCTAGCCCTGTGCCTACTGTCCCTAACAGGTGAAGTCTGACTCACCCCCTCCTGCAGGCACCATGGCCCGGAGCAGGGCACTGCTGTTCCTATTGCTGTTGCCACCGCAGCTGGGACTGCTGAGCTCGGTCAGGTCTCCAGGGTTTGGCCGAAGTGGTGCCCACAGCCTGAGCCCTGAAGAGAACGAATTCATGGAGGAGCCAGTGTTGGTCCTGAGCCCCGAGGAGCCAGGGCCCGGTCCTGCTACCATCAACTGCCCCCGAGACTGTGCCTGCTCCCAAGAAGGTGTTGTGGACTGTGGTGGCATCGACCTGCGCGAGTTCCCAGGGGACCTGCCCGAGCACACCAACCATCTGTCTCTGCAGGTGAAGCTGGCATTGCAGCAGCGGTCAGCAGGGGCTGCCCTCTCGACTCGCAGCTCCTGTCCCAGAACCCCCAGTACCCATGGCTCCCCGGCCCCCAGACACGAGGTGCTAGGGCATCCCCCCTCTGACGTCCCCGTCACAGAGTAACGTGATATTATAACTGCTTGTTTTGCTTGGAGGAGTCCAAGCTGAGGCCTGTAAGTAGAGTCAGACCCTGTGAAAATAGGACTCAGATCTGCCTGGCAGCTGCCCCTCTGGATGGGCAGAGCGCCCCAGACACCATTATGGAGCAGGAAAACAAGAGAAAGTTGACCCTGATAGATGCTCTGGGGGCTCAGAGGATAGAGCGTTCTCCCCAGCTGAGGTGCAGGCTGGATTTTGAGAAGTGGGACACTTTTCCAGACGGGGGACACTGGGAATGCTGGTGCGCCCAGCTCTGTGTGGCCCAGAGCCCTGGGGGAGAGAGAGGGGCTCTCATACCCATTTCCAGAGATCAAGCCCAGTGAAGGAAAGTGACCTGCCCATGGTCACCCAAACTGATGGGTCTACAGTGATGGTAGAGGGAGCCCACGGCCAGAGGAGCCCATGCGGGAAAGGGACGAGTTAAGGACAACACTTTCAGTTGGTTCATTCACTCATTTTTTCATAAAATGTCTCCTGGGTATGTGCTCTACACGTCTGGTGCTGTGTCAGATGCTGGGCGTGTAAGGGGGACGTGAACAGCCTATGGCGGGGGGAGGGGGCAGAGATCTAAACAGGTAAAGACTATAGATGGAGACAGAAGGACTAGTGCTGGGGTGGAGGTGCCCAGAGCAGTTCCTAGTCCAGCCCTCAATCCAATTCAGGAAGGCTTTTGGAGGAAGGTTTTAAAGCATTCCAAAAGGAGTGAGGACCACAGGTACGCCCTCCCCCGACCCGGAAAGGGAGCCAAAAGCACTTTCTGGCTTGGGGATGCCTGCCACCCAGTGGGAACATGAAGGGAGTGGGTCTCGAGGGCAAACGGCACTCCAAGTTTGAACTGCCTCGAGATGCTCATGTCTGGGCTTCCGGAAGGCGGGACCTGCATGCCTGTGGTGGTCACTGCTGTGCCTCCAGCGCTCAGACCCGGGACTGGCCCAGACCCAGGGCCTGTCTGCATGGGGGGTGAATCCCAAGGGAGGTGCCCAGCAGAGGGACTGCCTCCTGGGACTGGCTCATCACCCCTGGCCCTTACCCCCCAGAACAACCAGCTGGAGAAGATCTACCCCCAGGAGCTTTCCAGGCTGCATCGGCTGGAAACTCTGAACCTCCAGAACAACCGCCTGACTTCCCGAGGTGAGGGGTCACCTGGAGCCCAGGCGAGGGACCAAAGGGGCGGGGGCACTGGCGCCCGTGGGAGCAGCTCCCCCTGCAGATGCTGGGGTATAGAAAACAGCAGGGCTGTGCTGGCAGCAGGGCAAGGGGCCCCCTGCAGTTGCCTAAGTCACTCCTGGGGGTTTCTGAGACCTGGGAATTGGGTCAGTGGAAAGGCTTGGATTCCCAGGGCCTTTCTCATGACCTTATTTTTATTTTTTATTAAAACATTTTTTAGTTTTAAATTTTTTTCATGTTTTTATTTATTTCTGAGAGAGAGAGAGAGACAGCGTGAGCAGGGGAGGGTCAGAGAGAGAGAGGGAGACACAGAATTGGAAGCAGGCTCCAGGCTCTGAGCTGCCAGCACAGAGCCTGACGTGGGGCTCGAACCCATGAACTGTGAGATCATGACCTCAGCCAAAGTTGGACGTTTAACCGACTGAGCCACCCAGGTGCCCATTAAAACATTTTTTAAATGTTTATTTATTTTTGAGAGGGAGAGCACGAGAGGGGCAGAGAGAATCACAGAATCGGAAGCAGGCTCCAGGCTCTGAGCTGTCAGCACAGAGCCTGATGTGGGGTTCAAACTCCTAAACCATGAGATCATGATTTGAGCCTTAGTCAGATGCTTAACCAACTGAGCCACCCAGGCGCCCCTCTCATAGACTCTTATATTCATAGAAAGCCTTTAGAATCAAAGATGTGTAGAACTCAGATTGTCAAAAGTTACTTTTTTCTGATGATGAAAAAATTTATAACAAAATTTGGAAATGTAGAAAACAAAACGGAAAAGAAAAAAAACCCCACTTATAAGTCTGCCACGTGGAGTTAATCACTATTGACGTTTGGGTATGTTTCTTGCTACTTTTTAGAAAACAGCTTTATTGAGGTATTAACTTCTATACTGTAAGATTCACCCAACGTAAAAGTACAATTTGATGAGTTTTGGTAAGTTTACATAATTGTTCAACCATCACCACAATTCAATCTAGTCTTTTTTCTTTGTTTTATAATTCATAGCTGAGCTACAGTTTAGATATTATAACTATCTTAACTGCTTCGTTCCACTTAGCAGTTAGCAAAGCAGCATTTTTCATGTTGCTAAAAACCCTCAGTGGCCATCATTTTGCACGGCGGCCGCCCACAGAGGGACCATGCACGGTTTATGTAACTGTTCCCTTTCCTTAGACGCTTGGGTGAGTCCCAGCATCTGAGGGTCTGGGAGCCCGGAACTGAGTGTCAGAGGCCTGCCTCATGATTGGAGAAGGGCCAGTTTGGCTGTGCTCCCAGTGACAGCTGAGTCCTGACACTACAGCTGCTGGCTGGGACAGGGATGGGCCAGATGGTGCGGGGCACCGGGGCCACAGCTCTGCCCTCTATGGGGCTGGGTAGAGGAGGGTCAGAGACCCCAGGGCTGCACCTGAGGAAAGCACTCCTTCCTGATGGGGAAGGGTGGGGCTGGGTCCTCTGCCCCGTGGCCTGACTTTATGAGGACCCATTTCCACCTGAGCAGGTGGAGCAGGTAGAGCAGGTGAAGAATTGGTCATTTGTGAATAGACACTGTCTACCTGCGCTCCTCTGAGCTGGGGGCCCCAGGGAACAAGAGTAAAGAAAACAGGGCTGGACAGGCCTGCTGGGACTGGGTGGGAAGGGATCAGAACCCAACCTGCCTCAGGGAGGGCCCTCCCAGTCCTGGAAAGTAGGGTGGGAACTGGGGGGGTTGGTGGTGGTGTGCTCCCCTGTAGCATCTCCTTCATCCAGGGCTCTGACCGATGCCTGTCCTTTGAAGGGCTCCCGGAGGAGGCATTTGAGCATCTGACCAACCTCAATTACCTGTATTTGGCCAATAACAAGGTAAGGGATCCTCTGGTGTTGGGGGGCTGAGCTCAGGTCACTGGGTCCCCATTGCTGCTCAGACATGGTCCTGGCGAGACCTCACACCTTACTGCAGGGCATCAGAGTGGTCAGATAATCAAAACAGAAACCAAGGCCTTACAGCAGTGCCCGAAGGTGATAGCAACTTGGAGGGCTTCCTGGAGGACATGGCATTTGAGCAGGGCTAGGAAGGGTAACAAGATTTCAGCCAGGGGCCCTAGGGGGAGTCACTGCCAAAGAGAGAGCATGAGAAAAGGCACACAGGCATTCAACTTCAAAATATTTGGTGTGTCCTAGGGCTCTGTCCTGGGCCCTTCTCTCTGAAGTCTCTTGAGGTGACCCATCCCCTCCCCAGGCTTTAGCACATGTCTACATCATGGCCATGTCCAGTGGCAGCCCCCAGTCCTTTCCATTCCTCCCACGTGAGACTCAAAGATCCACCTGCCTCCTCTACATCTCCCCTAGATGTCTAATGAATGTAGAACTCTGGTTCCTTTCCACAAACCCCAAACCTCCTGTGGCCTTTCCCCCCATAAAGGCCATCTCCAGCCACCTATCTGAGCCACAAACCCGGGGTGCTTTGCTCGCCCACGCCCAGTCCCACTGCACGCCCTCAGCTCCCCTCTGGCCCTGGTCCGCCAGCCCACACCAGGACGGCCCTGCTTTTCCGTTTGCTCCTCCCTCTCCTCAGAGCAATCAGAGTGACCTTTAAAAACCATACCTGCCTCGTGCTCGCTTCGGCAGCACATGTACTAAAATTGGAACGATACAGAGAAGATTAGCATGGCCCCTGCGCAAGGATGACACGCAAATTCATGAAGCGTTCCATATTTTTTAAACTATTTGTAAAAAATAAAAATTTTAAAAAAAGTAAATAAATAAAAGTTTAAGAAAAAAAAAACCATACCTGCCTCTACCCTTCCTTTCCCCATCCCCAACACAAAGCTCCTGAGGCTTCACTTTCCACCCAGAATGAAAGCCACACACCTCTGCATGGCGGAGGGCCTAAGTGTGTGCCTGCCTGCCTCTCTCAACTCCTGTTCCCACTCACTTCTCCAGCCCCCAAACCCCCAAGCGGAGCCTATACTCACTGCCCCTGCTGCCATGGGTGCTCTCCCCTCAGATGGCATTAACTGCCTTCATGCCTTAAGTGTCACCTGTTCCTCGAGCACCCAGCCCAGTTATTCTCTGCCTTCAGCCTGGTTTAATTCATCACTATTGGATACTTCTGTGCCTTGTTTATTGTCTTCTCCTTTAAGATGTAAGCTTTGGGGGGTGGGGGTGGAGGCACTTCTCTGTCTTGTTCCCCAGGACACGTCCAGCACCTGGCCCCATGCCTGCAGTATTGTACACTCAGGGACTGCTGCTGAGTGAATGAAGGCTGACACTGGGCAGGGGGAGTGTGGGTGCTCACTGTAGCTGCACAGAGGGTCTGTGTCAGGGAGCAATGAGGGGAGAGACCAGGAGCACCGCAGGGGACAGGCCTAGAGGGCTTTGAATGTTTAGGGCTGGGGGGGGGCATGAAGGTTCTGTTTTTGTGTTATTAGGGGAGTGGGATGGGCTTCCAGTTTAGAAAGACGTCTCTGGTTGCAAGGAGGAGCCCAGAGGAGCCAGCCTCTGCCCTCCATTGGTCTTTCTGCCCCAACTCTTCCCTTCCCAGCTGACCCTGGCACCCCGGTTCCTGCCAAACACCCTGATCAGCGTGGACTTTGCCGCCAACTATCTCACCAAGATCTATGGGCTCACCTTTGGCCAGAAGCCAAACTTGAGGTCAGAGGTCAAACAGGGGCCCTGGGCTCAGGCTGGGGAAGGGGGAGGAGCTGAGACAGACACTCCCAGCCCTGTCGGGGCAGAGAACAGACCCTGAAGGAGGGGCATGCTGGGCAGTGCAGGCATGATGCCCTTGCTCAGGGCTGTGGTGAGGGATGCGCGCCTGCTGCAGGGGCACAGGCTCTGAGTACTGGAAGGAATCAGTCCAAGAGGTAAGGACTGAGAGTGATGTCTGCGGAACCATGGGGAGCTGGGTGAGGGTCTTTCCCTCCTTCCCCAGCCCCCAGGGGAAGGAAGCATCTTGCAGCAGACAGAGCTGCCCCTTGCTGAGAGCTGCTTCGGGAAGAGTAGCACAGGTGTGTGAACAGGGCAGGGTGGTTCGGGGGATACTGACAACGCCTGGTGCTGCTTCTGTCCCTGAATCTGTCATCTCACTCGATTCTCTCCATCCCTGAAAGGAGCCAGGGTCGCTGTGCATGGTCCCATCCTACAGATGAGAAGGCTGAGGCTCAAGAGAGGCCACACAGCAAGAATGAGTTATAGCTTCTATGTTTAGAATATCTTCTATTTCTCTTATTTCTTATCTTTTCTCCTTCTAGGAATTTAGTTTCAAGAGGGCAGGGTCTTGTTGGTTATGTCCACTGCTTATATCTTCAGAGTCTAGAACAGTCCTGGCACACAGGGGCACTCACTATTATACATTTTCTGAATGAATGAGAGGTCACCTCCTCTGAGCCAGGCCCTGTACTGGACATTGAGGCAAAGAGGTGGCAGGGTTAGCCTCCATGTGTGGGAAATCCCACAGAACTCAGAGCCAGCTGCTTGGGGTTGGCATGTGGGACTCCAGGACTGCAACAGTCCGAGATGACTAAGAACCTTGAAGGGTGTGTAGGAGCACAGACTGGGGGTCAGGAAATCCTATTTCTGCCACTGACATGGGGAGCAGCCTCTAGTGGGTCCTTGGTCTCCTTGGCTGTGTAGGGGGACTGGATGAGGCGGGGTCTGAGGTTCTTCAAACGGGAGGAGGGTGTCCTGGGCCCAGGCCTGACCTGAGCAAGGTCTGAAGGCTGGTCAGATGAGCTGGTGGGAAGAGGGGCGGGCACGGCTGGGTAAGGACCTGTGCCTCATCCCCTAGGTCCGTGTACCTGCACAACAACAAGCTGGCGGACGCCGGGCTGCCCGACCACATGTTCAACGGCTCCAGCAATGTCGAGATCCTCATTCTGTCCAGCAACTTCCTGCGCCACGTGCCCAAGCACCTGCCACGTGCCCTCTACAAGCTGCACCTCAAGGTGGGAGGGAGAGCATGGGGAGGGGCAGCAGAAGAGCAGGGTGCAGTGGGGGAAGAGCCCAGGCCCACACAGGCACCGCGGTGAGGCTGTGGGGCCTCAGGCACACGCCGCAGGCCACGGTGTCCACTGTGGGGAACCAGGCAGAGGCCTGGGTGCCTGGCCGTCAGTATCACCTGCCTCATGCTCCAGGCCTGGGCCTCCTCCCATGGCTCCCCCAGACTCCTCTCCACGTCTCATTCCAGGGCGCCACCCTTGCCCCTCAGCTGTCCCTCATACTCCCCTCCCCACCGTCCTACCCCTCAGAACAACAAGCTGGAGAAGATCCCACCAGGTGCCTTCAGTGAGCTGAGCAACCTGCGTGAACTGTACCTGCAGAACAATTACCTGACTGATGAGGGTCTGGACAACGAAACCTTCTGGTGAGCTCCACCTGACCCTCCGTGTGAGCACGGTAACTGGGAAGCTGCTCCCTGGGCCCACCCAGCCGAGTCCTCTCACACCCGCCCGTCGCCCACCTGCCCCCACCCACCGAGGTTCCTGGAGAAGGAACTTTGCGCTTGTGCCTGTGCTGGCACGTCTGTCCTCAACAACAAGGGATATGTGTAGAGAAGGCCTGCCCCAATTCCAGAGGGGCATCTTCAGAGGCTGGCTTCTTGATACAAAGTTGAAACTGGAGTAGACTTGTTGAAGGCAAATATGTTTTCGTTCTTTAGGGCCCAGGGTAGCCACAAAAAGCCTTAAACAATTGGTCTTCGAATTGACTTCTAAGTGTCAGAAACCATGCTAGATTCTTCCTACACCAGTGTGTCCCAATGACACACTGGTGTAGGAAGAATCTAGTCAGAGCATGGGCTCTGAGAGGACTGAGGTCAGGCAGGTCACTCCCCATCTCCCTTGGGAGTAATGGTGTAAGGAAACACCGTGGGCCTCTGCCAACTATCCTAATTCCTTCCTGCCCCAGGAAGCTGTCCAGCCTGGAGTACCTCGATCTGTCCAGCAACAACCTGTCACGGGTGCCGGCGGGGCTGCCGCGCAGCCTGGTGCTCTTGCACCTGGAGAAGAACGCCATCCGCAGCGTGGACGCAGACGTGCTGACGCCCATCCGCAGCCTCGAGTACCTGCTGCTGCACAGCAACCAGCTGCACGCGCGCGGCATCCACCCGCGGGCCTTCCAGGGCCTGAAGCGGCTGCACACGGTGCACCTGTACAACAACGCTCTGGAGCGCGTGCCCAGCGGCCTGCCCCGGCGCGTGCGCACTCTCATGATCCTGCACAACCAGATCACCGGCATCGGCCGCGACGACTTCGCCACCACCTACTTCCTGGAGGAGCTCAACCTCAGCTACAACCGCATCACCAGCCCGCAGGTGCACCGGGATGCCTTCCGCAAGCTGCGCCTGCTGCGCTCGCTGGACCTGTCCGGTAACCGGCTGCACACCTTGCCACCCGGGCTGCCGCGGAACGTGCATGTTCTCAAGGTCAAGCGCAATGAACTGGCGGCCCTGGCGCGCGGAGCGCTGGCCGGCATGGCCCAGCTGCGTGAGCTCTACCTCACCGGCAACCGGCTGCGCAGCCGCGCCCTGGGCCCCCGCGCATGGGCCGACCTTGCCCACCTCCAGGTAAGGGGCAGGGAAAAGCGGCTAGGTTACACCCGCGTGAGGCGGTACTGATATGGCTGCCCTGAACACACCCATCTTCTGGGCCCAGGTGACGGGTGGGTAGGAGGCCCTGGCCGTGGGGCTGGGCCGCTGGACCAGGAAGCGGATGACTGGCATGCCAGGAGACAGCAGTAAAGGGCTGGTATGGCCAGGCTGAGCTCAGTACCTGCAGGTACAGGCTTGAAGAGGGCTGTGGGGATAAGGGGAAGTCATAGCTGCAGGTAGGGGGCCCACAGTTCAGGAGGATAGGCGGGGTGGGGGGGCAGTCAGGTGTCACTGGAGAGTCAGGCTCACTCATCTGAAATCTCAGGAACAGCTGGCTGGGAAAGGCTGGGCTGGGGGGAGCGGAGGGGCGAGGCTTGGGAGGCAGGCTGACCTCCAGCAGAGGGCTGGAGACATGCTGGGCTGCTGGGTGGGTGTGGCCCAGTGGCCACAGCTGGAGTCAGGTGGGGTATCTGGCCTGAGCGAAACCTCCCACTCAATAGGGGTTGAAAGGGAACTTGAGAAAATTGGGAGGCAGGGCCTAGGTGCTGTGAGGTCAGGAGCTGCCTGCCACTTCGCTGCCCGGGGGAGGGGGGTTCCCTACATGTCCCCTCCCTCCCTCTCAGGGCTCTGCTCAAATGTCACCTCCTTGGGAGGTCTTCCTTCACCACCTATCAACCCTCTCTGCCTTGGTTTTTCTTCCTAATCCTCATCCCTTCTGGGCATTAGGTCATCCATCTGCCATTTGTTGCCTGCTCTTCTGCTAGAATCGTGGCAGGCATTTTAGTCTGTGGTGCTCACAGGACCTCGGTGTGGTAGGCTCACCGTGCATGTTTTTCTGGGGAGCTGTTAGGGTGAGGATGTCTGAGGGAAATACAGGGGACAGCCCACAGAGTGGGGGGGCAAGAAGGTGGGACCCAGCCCTGAGGGTAGGGCAGGGGTAGTTGGTGGTAGGCAGCTGGCTCTGCAGGAGCAGCTGTTGGGGGGTCTCTCCTCACCCAGACAGCCTTGCGGGTGCCAGACAGCAGGATGCAGTTACCTGTGCGGGTCCCTGCTGCTTTTCCTCAGGAGCCCATTCTCAAGGAGCTCAGAGCCCATTGTCCTCCCTTCCACACTTGTTCCTCTTGCTGCATTTTCTTTTCTTTTAAAAAAATTTTTTTTAAAGTTTATTTATTTTGAGAGAGAGAAAATGAGCAGGGGAGGGGCAGAGGGAGAGTGAGAGAGAGAATCTCAAACCAGCTCTGCATGTCACCACAGAGCCCTACATGGGGCTTGACCTCTCGGACCACGGGATCATGACCTGAGCCAAAGTCAGACACTTAACCCACTGAGCCACTAGGTGCCGCTTTGCTGCATTTTCTAACTCACTGAAGGGGGTGACCACAGGAAACCTGGAAGCTGCCCTTGACACCTCCTTTTTGACACCACCTGCCCCCCAACACCCATTGTTACTAAACTCTGCCAGTGCTACCATCACATCTCTCAACTCACTTCTCTCCATCCCTGATGCCTGTACCCCAAGCCAAGTCACCCCCATTTCTCACCTGGACCCCAGCTCCAGAGGAGCTCTCCACTCTATTAGTAGACTGTATGCAGTTGGTTAGGTATCTTGAAAAACACTCACCTTATACTGCTTCTCAGAACCCTCTGTGGCTCCCCGTTGCTCTTAGAGTCCAGACCAGAACCCTTGCCACAGCTCTCAGGACCGGCCTGCCTCTGCTCCTGGCTGAGCTCCTTGGCTTCCCAGGCACACTGGGCTTTAGTCATACTGGCCTTGCTGCTGGAAGCATCGCACCCTGGGAGGCCCTGCTCACTCATTCGGGCCACAGCCTGTCCTGGGCCTCCACCACATACAGACACAGCTCTGGAACTGAGGACCTGACAGGCAGGACCTGTCAGTGGACCTCATTTCCCAGATGGCAGATGGAGCATCATTACCGTCTAGGGCCTGTAATACACCTCGGACTTAGTTCAGGTGTTCTGTCCTTCCGGAAGCCCCCAGTGATGGGCAGGTATGTGAATCCAGTCAGGGAGGAGGTATCTGGTGGGGGGATTCCTCCTCACACTGTTGGATCTTTCTATAAGCAGCTGCCCCCACTGCTTCAGAGCCCCCACCTGTGCTGGCCGCTGCACTCCCCTGACCCGAGGCTGGGTCAGGCCACTCCCCCAGGGCTCCTTCTGCCAGCTGCCATTGTCAGATTCTCTGTGCGTGTCCTCCTCCAAGCTGACCTCCAGTGCCAGAGGCATCTTCTCAGTGGACCTTATTTCCCAGGCACCTGTGGGCATGAGGATGTTTGGAATGAACGCGGAAGTGCCAGCGCTGTGTGGAGGGAACACAGTAGGGAGCAGGGAGCCCTGCTGGGGAGGGGAAGTGACAGGAAGGCTCCCTAAGGTGTGTGAAGCTGGTTTTTCCCCCTTGAATCTTGAATCTAGATTCATGGCCCCCAGTTTCCTGCCCCTGAGCCTCAGCCTGTCAGGGTGAGGAAGGGAAATTAAAGATGATGGAGTCCCACCTGTGCCTGCACAGGTGTGTGTCAGGACAAGTGTGTGCTGACAGCCTGAGGGGCAGGCAGTGAGCTGGGCCCGTGCATGTCCAGGTCTCCTGCCTACTGCATGTTTGCTCTGCTCCCTGGGAAAACCACCCCGTCTCCCTGCCCACCTGCTTCCTGGACTCCGGGCATGTGGTAATCCCAGGACTGACCAGCCTAGGTCAGTGGGCCTTCAACACTTGCTCTTGGTCCCTGCCCACATGGCCTCTGAAGGCCACAAATGAGCAGCCCCACCTGTATGGACCCCAGCCCCACTCTCATCTGGGACCAGTGTGGGCATATTCAAACACTGGAGGATCCCTGGCCTCTGCCCTTCTGGGATCTTCAGTCTGATGGGGGGGACAGGTGTGCTAAGGAGGAAGGGCTGTAACACTCAGATATCTTGGCTGTGAATTCATGTGGGAAGACAGAAGGAGCTGGGTAGGACAGATGACAGTTAGAACAAGGGTTTGGAACAAGGGTCAAGTGCATCGGGTTCCAGCCTCATATAAGCTGTGTGGCCTTGGACAGATCTCTTAACCTGTCTGAACCTCTGTTTCCCCTCCTGGAAAATAGGGTTAGTTGTAGGCCCCGCCTCACATGGTTATCGTAGGCCAGAGGGTTGGTAGGATCTTTGCAAGATGTTAAGTGTTTTGACTCCCCTGGTCACCCATATAGCTGCTGGATATCGCTGGGAATCAGCTCACAGAGATCCCTGAGGGCCTCCCGGAGTCACTCGAGTACCTATACCTGCAGAACAACAAGATTAGCACTGTGCCTGCCAGTGCCTTCGACTCCACGCCCAACCTCAAAGGCATCTTTCTCAGGTAGGAGGCCCCTGGGACACTGTGCATGCCCCTCTGTGTTCAGCCCTGGCTCTAGTGGGATAGCTGAGGCATGTGGGAACAGCTCCTGGGTAGAGGTCAGTGTTCGAAGCCTGGCTTTACTGCTGATAGTCTTTGTGACCCTGGGTACATCACGGAATGCTTCCTGAGCCTCTGTGTCCTCAGCATTCTGGTCAAGCCTGGTAAGGTTTATAAGTTTGTAGAAGGGCTTCAGGAACTTTAAAGGCAGTGCATGTGGGCGTTAGTGATGTGACTGTGGCAGGAAGGGTTACCAGGGAGCAAGGTGATCACTGTGCCCACAGGTCAGGCTGTACCCTGGACCTCAGGCCCAGGATAGCAGGTGTCAGGCCCTTGCTGAGCTCTGGGGGTTTAGAATGATTCTAATGGGGGAGCCAACTCCCCCAGGAAATGAGGGGCTTTGATACAGTAGAGTCAGGGTGGTTCTTCCAACACCCTACCTAACCATCCCCTCAACTCAGAGAGAAGGGACAGATCTGAGAAGGCGGAATGTGCACGCCCAGGGGATTTGTGGTCCAGAAGGCCCCAGGCTGGGGTGGGGTGGAGTGTAACCTATGCCTTGGCTCCTGTAGGGGACTAAGGCACAAAGAATTGAGGGGGCCTGATATCAGAGCCTAGCCTCTGCCTGCCTTCAACCCAGGTGCATCCCTGGCCCGGCTTAACCCTGGCCTTGCCTGTGTGCCATACCACACCAGGCTCCAAAGTAACCCCAGTCTGGCAGCACCAGAGCCTCAGGCCTTGGGGTTAATTCCAGAGGGAGGTAATCCCAGGCTGAGAGGAGGCACCCATTTCCGCCACTCCCAAATTGCAGAACATTTGTAGATGGGGGCCTTCCCCTCTGGGATGAGTGGTCCAGGGTCCACACCTGCCCCACCAAGCTGTAGCCACACTGAGTAGCTGGGACTTTTCATGACGTGCCATGCTTCTCAGCAGCCCCCTTTTATGCTTACTATGCCATCTTCCTGGAGATCTCGTTCCTTCCTCTTTACCGTCTAGGCTGGGTGAGTGTGGGGCCTCTGAGGGTTAGGCCTCTGGCACTGACCCCACATGGGTGGTCTGCACAGGTTTAACAAGCTGGCTGTGGGCTCCGTGATGGAAAGTGCCTTCCGGAGGCTGAAGCACCTGCAGGTCTTGGACATAGAAGGCAACTTTGAGTTTGGTGACGTTTCCAAGGACCGAGGCCAGTTGGAGGAAGAGGATGAGGAAGATGAGGAGGATGAGGATGAGGAGGATGAGGAAAGTCGATAGTGGCAGGGTGAACCGGATTTGACATAGGTAGGTGGTCTGGGTGGGGGCACACTGACCTCTCCCCACCAGCTTCCTGTCCCTGACCCTGGTACGCCCCCTGGGTGAGTTGCTGGCAAGGCTGTGGGAGGCTAGCACAGGCTGGGGAACTCGCCCCGATGGGACACGCAGAGGCCCTGGGATGGTGGAAACAGGGAATGGATGTGGGGGCCCAGGAGGAGCCTACTGTGGTGATCCAGGCCAGAGGTGATGGGGGGGGCAGTGAGGATGCAGATAAGCAGAAAGCCTGAAGGGCTTTGGGGGACGGACAGGCAGACTCCAGAGGCCACAGTAGTCCTGCTGGGCCAGGGCGAGGGAGAGGACAGGCCCCCCAGGTCTAGCTTGAGTTCCGGGTGGACGATAGTACTGGGGGAGCAGGTTTGTTGAGGTGGTGGGGGTGTTGAGTTAGATGGGCTTGGGGTGTGCTCAGGGAGTTGCCCAGGGTGGGCCGGGTATGTGGGTGTGGGGCTGGGGGGTGAGCTCTGGCCTGAGATGGGGCTCCAGACATTATCAGCCTGGAAATAGTCGTGAGGCCCCAGCAAGCTCAGGGAGCTCACTTGGGGAGAGTGACTGGCCATGGCCAGCTGCAAGGGAGCCTGCAGAAGGGGCTGACACGGCGAGGGAAGGAGGTAGGACAGAGGCAGATTATGTGCACGTGCAACATAACCACCCTACATGTGTATACAGTGCACTGACACACACATACCTGTGCTCCCACACGTCCAAACATGCATACACGTGCGCGGATAACCCACACTCAGAACACAGAGCGCACACAGACACACGTGCATGTACTCCACGACACGTTCACAGGCGCAGGACACGTACGTGCACACACACGTGCATGCGTGTGACTACACACGTGCATCCCCATGCACACAGGCCCTGGTGGAGAGAGTAGCTGTGTCAGTGCCGCTGACAGGCAGGTGGAGGTGAACACTGTCAAGAGACCACCAGATTTATCCACAAGAAGGTCACCCTTGACCTTGTGGGGGAGCAGCCTCAAGTGCAGTAGCTGGCAAGGTGTGGACCCAGGGAGCATAGACAACTCTGTCAAGAAGTTTGGCTGTGAAGGGATGAGATGAGAAGGTGGCAGGGGGAAGGGGGTGTGAAGTTCAGGAGGGGCCTGTTCACCTTGCACCCTTTTCAGAAACAGAGCTGATGGAAGGGACTGGCCTGGAGGGGGAGTTAAAGATGTAAGAGAGGAGAGCAGGGAGAAGCTAGCCCTGTGGACACAGTAGGAGGGACTGGCTTTGGCAGGAGGCTCAGTCCTTGCACTGTGTCAGGAGGGGCGGAGGACCAAGTGGCTGCAGTCACACACAAGGTAGCGGCTTGGTGGCTGAACATGAAGTCACAGCAGCCCGATGCCTTCAGCCTTCTGTTTTCTCTGTGCGACAGGAGGTGCTCAGCAGACCGGGGTGGGTGTGGAGAAGATGGACCATTGGATCCATCCATGGCTGGGTTTTTGGCCAGGTGTGTGGGACAGAAGGGTAAGGAACAAGGATGTTGAAGGTGCTGGCGACAGAATGGCTGCAGTCGTGGACCCCGGGGTCAGGCTGGGAAGGGAAGGAGGTACAGACAGGAGGAGGGTGGGTGGGCAGGGCCTCTGGAGAGGGACGCTGGAGAGCGGGCAGTGTGGTGAGTAGCCGGGAGGAGAGGTGTGGTCAGAAGGGAATATCAGAATGAGCTGAGCTGGGGGTCACAGGGTCAGGCTGTGGCCATGCCAAGGGGCCCCCGGGCCACTGTTAGGACACTGAATTGAAGCAGGGGCTTGGGGCAGAGAGGAGACTTGAGGGTGGTGGTGAGGACCCCATGGGCAGATGACAGAGGGGGGTGCACCTGACAGAAGAGCGTGCATGGGGCAGTTATCCCAGTGCGGAGAGCAGGCTCTTGGGAATCCCCTTCCTCTGTTCCCGGGGCCCCAGAATATGAAGTGGAGACCCTTCTCTCTAGGCACTGTCCTCAGGTCAGTGAGGGGGTGAACAACTGCCCAGTGAGGATGCTATAGCCCTCAGTGAGGGGGCTGCGGAGTCCTGGGATGGGAGAGAATCTGTCCCCTCTGGAGGGCATTGGCCTCGGTCAGGTCTGTTGAGGGGGGCCCTGGGAGAGGCCCTGGGGAGTGGCCAGAGGGACCCAAAGGCCCTCTAGTTGATACCAGGCCTGGTCACATCCGAAAGAACACCTCTGAGTGGGTGGCCTGCTGGTTCTGGGCTCCCGGGGGCAACTCAGTCACCTGGCCCTCCCAGAGTCCCCTCAGGAGGGCCCCCTAGCTCTAATCACCTCCCCAAAGCTGGCATTTCTGCCCTGGCCTCCCTGACTCTCCCACGTGTTCTGCAGGACAACGGACCGCCAGACCCCTTTCTGCAACAGGTACCTGTGCCCTGTGAGCCCCACTCTGCCATGCTCACAGACACACCCAGGGCCGCCCTCACCAGCCACCCCACACCCCACCGCCACAACACAGGCTGGACACACAGTCTCCCACTCCCCCTTGCTCCTGTAGCACCCCACGGCCAGACACATGCAGGCAACATGACACACCCACACACTGCTGGCTGCACGGAGTGAGCCCACCATCCAGTCCCATTCTCCATCCCACGCCCTCCATCACCATCATGCCCTTGGACTCCTGTAGACTCAGGGAAGGGTCTGACCCTGCCCTGGCACTCACGGGTGCCTGCTCCCCTTGCCTTGGACCCCCCATGTGCGTGTGCGCACTCACGCGCCCACACACACACACACACACACAAAGTCACATGAAAACAACCCTCTATGGCCTATGCCACCGACATATCTTGCCCCAGCCAGAACTGGCCAGAACAGCCTGCTACCAGCTCATCTGCCTGTTCGTCCGTCCACTGGAGAAGACAGAGTAATCTTGGTGCTCTCTGTGGCCAGGTGCCTGCCACCCTCTGGAACTCACAGAAGCTGATTTTTGTTCCTTTCCCTCCCTTTGGGGACAGAAACCTTTGGGACAGCTGCCCTGACTCCCAGCTGCCCAGGCAGCCTCTCCCTGCCCGGCCCTGGCCGGCCACAGGCACATCTGTGATGGAAACCCCAGTAAGGCCAGAGGGAAAATCTCCTGGGATTGCTGGGGCTGTGGGCACGAGTGAGGCGGAGGGGCAGGGCCAGGCAAGGAGGAAGGGCCCAGCTGCCCTGATGACACACCTTTTTTATTCTTTGGGCCTGCGGAATGTTCTGGGTGCCTTGGGATTTTTAACTCTTTTTTAAGAAAAAAAATGATAAAAAAACAAAACTGATTTTTCTTGTTACAGAAAAACTAATATAAAAGCATTACCCTTTTCTGGCAGCCTATGACCATGTCTGCGTGTGCTTCCTGCCAGGTGCCGGGCCAGTGTCTGGCTGGGGTGGGCAGGATACAGGCACCTCGGGGCCTTTCCAGACCAGCAGAGTCGGCGCGAAGTTCCATTCTTGGGCCCACAAAGTACTCACACAGGCAGAGGTCCAGGGACGCGGGGTTTAGTCACAGGTGAGGAGGCCTGGGGGCATGTGCGGCCATCAGCTTGGTGGGGGTCAGCAGGTCTGGCCACACTGGGCTTGTGAGCTCACTCTGTGCTTGCACAGGCTGAGCATCTGAGTTCACCAGCAGGACCGCCTGTGCCCCGAGTGGCCATACTGATGGGGCGTGTCCCCAGCAGGGCTGGGACGGAAGCCGACTAGAGGCGGGCCTGAGACCTAGAGCAGGGTCTCCTTGGGGGCCCAGGTCCTTGCAGGCCCGCCCAGGGAAGGAGTGACGGACACGCCTAGTGCTCCCACTACCCCCAGCAGTGCCAGAGCTGGAACTGGAAGGCAGCCCCTGGCTCAGAGCACAGTTGGTGAGATGCCCAGGAAACAGTGACCTCCCACTACTGGAGGTGTGCAAGCATGCGCCTGTGAAGCCCAATAAAAGCAGATTCCTGCCTTGTGGTGGGCCAGGCTCCATTGCTAAAGGGGCCTTAGAGATGTGACACAGGGAAGGGACGTTTAAGATGGTCCACGTGACTGTGGGAATGACTGATAGCTTGACCTCTGACCTCTCTTAGGTGATTAGGCCTTGATGAAGGAAGGATGCTTCCATGGTGGACCCTATAGCCCCCCACCCTGCAGCAGGACAGGGGTCCTAGGATTGGGGCCCTTCTTGGACTCCTCACATCATGGCCCTGGGAGAAGGATAGGAGTAGTTCAAGAGTGGGCGCTGGGAGGCAAGTGCCCTCCTGATTCTCTGAATGACTGTGGGAAGCCCCTCCTCCAGCTTCAGTGTCTTCGTGGGCTCCTCTGTGCAATACTCTAGAGCTAGATCTTCTCCCCAAAGCACATTCAGAACAGGCTACGTGGCCATGGCTCTTCTGTGTCCCCAGGGAGGCCCCCTGGGCCAAGGAGAATGGGGGAGAGAGTCTGGAAATGTCCTTGGGCACATCCCCTCCTTAAAGCAAAGCATTTGCCTAAGGGAACCAGACTGTTTGAGGAGATTTGTCTCTTCTGTGGGGACTGATCTCAGTAGTCTGTCCACACTATGGCTGTGGAGACAGGCCCCTGGGCAAGCCGATTTACCCTCTGCCTCCTGAATATCACAGGTCAGACAGGCCTGTCCTTATATCAGCCTCCAGAACAGGCTCATTTGCACTCTGGCTGCCCAGGTAGGCCTGTCCATATACTAACAGGCCAGCTCGACCTATCTATACTCTAGCTACATGGACAAACTTGTACATCCTTGCCACCTGGACAGGCTTGTTCATACACTGGCTGCCCCATCAGGCCTGTCTGACAGCCTAATAAATACTGGCTGGGGCGCCTGGGTGGCTCAGTTGGCTGAACATCAGACCCTTGATTTCGACTTCGGTCATGATCTCATGGCTCCTGAGTCTGAGCACTGCATCCGGCTCCATGTACTGACATGGGATTCTCTCTCTCTCGCTTTCTTTCTGCCCCTCCCTTGCTTGCATTCTCTCCCTCCTTCCCTCCTCTCTCAAAAATAAATAAACATTACCAAAAGAAACCCCAAAAAACAAATGGTCACCAAGCCCACAAGACTTGAAAAACAAAATACCTTTATTTAGTTATCACTGTATTTGCAAACACAGAAGGGAGTAGAAAATCTAACACAGCTTCATCACACAGGCTCGTGGACAGTGCTGACCCCAGGGCTCCAGGGTGGCCTGGCTCCCCGGTCCTGGCTGGCCCGCCTGTCCTGTGGGAGGCTGGCCCAGGTGTTTCCAAGGGACCCTCAGCTCCTCTGACACCATCCTGTCTCCACAGGGGCCGAGCTTTGTGAGAGACGTCTGGTGAGACTGATGGGACATGGGACAGGCTGTGGCCCGTGGCAGGCAGCGGCCTTGGCCCAGGGAGAGCTGTTTGTCTGAGGCCACGTGCTAAGGGGCAGGGAAGGGGACAGGCCTGGACAGCAACTCAGCTGGGGCAGAACCAGAACACTGTTGTGTCTTCATAAACTGAAGGCAGTGGTGGCGGCCGAGCTCCTGCAGGGGTGGCGGAGACCCTTGGCATCTGGCCCCGTGGGCCCGTGTCTTCCCAGAGAGAGGGGCCAGGGCCTGGAGGACTTGAGTTAGAGTCCTGGCCCTGACCCAGGGCAGCTGTTTTCAGCTCACGGAGCCTCAGCTCTGTGATCCAGAAAGTGGGACCATATAGCCCCTGCCTGCCACCCTCATAGGTCAACACGGTGGAAATGTCACAGCCGGGACCTGGGCTGTGACAGGCCATCAGTCTCCAGCTGGGGCTCCCACATGCAGTTCTTTCCCTTCCTGAGTCTCCACAGTCTGGCACGTGGCACTGATTCTGGCCTCTCAAGGGCGGGAGGAGTGTGTGAGCCTGGCTCCTGTCGAATGCTCAGAAAGCTAGTGAGTTGAGGCGCTGCCCTTGGCCCCAAGCCCTGGAGGCCTCCCCAGCCCCTGCGGCTCCACAGGCTACACATTGGTCTCTAGCTCACTGATCTCAATGGTGCAGTGGTCCAGAGAGGTGGCAGCTGGTCCCTCGTCCTGCTCCACCTGGACAGGGATGTGGTGAGGACAGGCAGGGCCCAGGGTCAGCTCCGAGGCCTCAGCCACGCTCTTCACACAGCCATTCTGCTGGGTTGCCACGATCTCCTGCAGGCTCACTGGCTTGGTCTCACAGGGCGGCAGTTTCTGGGGAGGGGAAACAGGCCTTGGCAGCAGCAGTCGGGAGTGAGGTTAGACACCAGGGAGGACTGAACGCGCAAACCACGTGACTGGGTTTCCTACGGATGTGCTGTGGGACCTTGATAGGTCACACAGGGGCTCTCTGGGCCCCAGTTCCAATCTGTCCTGCCTCCTTTTGAGGTTGTCTTAGTGGAGGAGGGACCAGACACACACAGTCCAGTGAGGGAACTGGTGGGTCCCTGGCCTGTCCCCTCCAATGGGAGTGGGACAGCCTGCTACACATAATTATTGCCACGAAACCCTGAGCAGACACACAAATGTTTGCATTGTTGGCAGGATAGAGGGCACGCCCACACCGGGGTACAGGCTCCCTGAGGACAGGGTTTGTCTTTCTTTGTTTACCACTCCTCCTCCCATGATGATGAGTGCTCAACAGCTAGCTGTGAGAGGACTCAGTCACCCCCTGTCCAGAAGAGGAGGCCCAGCTGGTGAAAAGACTGGCACCCCCACCCCAGCTCCAGTCTCCCAATGGCCAGGCTGGGAGGGAGGCGCTGCTCTCACCTCCGTGCCTGCGTCCTGAGCAAAGTCCTTCCGGCAGATGTGGGCCATGATCCCCGCCGCCAGCGCGTCACCCAGCACATTGATCATGGTGCGGAAACGGTCCCTGGTGAGCCAAGGTGGGCAGTGAGTGGCGGGTGACAGTTTTGGTAAGAGGAGCTGGCAGAGGCCAGGGCTCAGCCCTGCAGCACCTGCAGCTGGCAGCCAGGTTGGAGCCTGTGGCTCGAGCCTACTGCCCCCCGGTCCTCTCGAGCCTACTGCCCGCTGGGCAGTGCCAGCGCAGGTTGGTGCACGGCAGCCTTCATGGGCATGTGGACGGTGCCCATGCTTAAAAGGGTCTGGGCTTGGTCTAATGCTCTGCTCTCACCCTCTTGAAATTCTTTATAATTTTTGAACAAGGGTAGGCACATTTTCATTTTGAAAACTGGGCCCCACAAAGGTTGGTGTCAGTGAGTAGGGCACCCCCATTGTGCCAAACGATGGCAGTTCCCCCAGCCCACCCTCAGTGCCTGCTGCCCAGGGGGATGAGGCACGTGGGGGGCAAACCCCACTCACAGAGCCCAGTCGACAGCGATGATGAGGGTGATGTCGTCAGTGGGGAGTCCCACGGAGGTGAGCACGATGACCATGGTGACGAGCCCAGCCTGGGGGATGCCAGCTGCCCCGATGCTGGCCGCTGTGGCCGTGATGCTGCAGGAGGGGCAGGGAGAGGAAGAGGAGGAGCAGGAGGGGCAGGCCTCGCTGTGGGAGCCCTGGCTCCAAGAAGGAGTCCAGAATGCCAGGGCCTCTGGGGACAGCCCTACAGGTCAGGGGTTGTTAGGAATGCCACATCAGGAAATTCTCAGGGTGGGGGCCATCCCCCTGCTCAAGGTCTTGGGGCTCCGTGGGCCTCCATCTCTGGCTTCAGCAGAACTTACTGAGGAGTTTGTAGAAGAGCCTGTGCCTGGAGCCATTGCCTCTGTCGGGTTCCAGAGAGCTGGCCAGAGATTCAGGTCGTCCATCCACACGGCTCTGCCCAGCCTCCCTCTGGGGCCTGGTTCCCAGGGCCAGACTTACGCCCTCAGGCTGGCACGCAAGGCCTCCCCCACAGCCTCTGGCCCTCACCCCAGCACCCTTCCCTCAGCTCCAGCCACACTAGCAGTCCCTCCTCTGTCCCTTCGTCCCGCCCCTGGCCTCTGTTCCCCCTGTGCCTGCCTTTAGCCCCCTCCTTGCCCTGCATGCCAGACTGCAGGCCTTTCCCAGCCTGCTCAGAGCTCCCCCTCTGTAGGGTGACGCTGGGGAAGGAGCCCTGAGTCACAGAAGCCAGGTCACATCCCAGCCACAGCACTGACTTGCTGTGCAGCTAGGAACAAACCCCTTGCCTCCTCTGCACCTCAGAGACCCCATCAGATCTGAGAGCTCAAGAATCCGGAAGCCCCTTCCTGTGCCCTCTTCTCCCCCCGCCAATCCACACTGGGGATGCGGTGTCAGGTGTGTACCTGATGGTGATGATCTGGCCGAAGTCCAGCTCATAGTTGTTGACCTGGGCAATGAAGATGGCGGCCACGGCCTCATAGAGTGCTGTGCCGTCCATGTTGATGGTGGCGCCCACGGGCAG